TAACATAAAGAGAGTTATTTTCCTTCATATATTCTTGAGTGCAATAGGTATTTGTAATCACAGATTGTATACAAGTACTTTGGGGTTGGGATTGTGAGTTTGTAAGGTGAGGTTAAGGAAGCTTCGTTGCTGAAGTCTTCTGTGAGAGTTGGGAACAAGTTCCTAATTTGGGGAACTTGTTAACGGGTTTGAATCTTCACTTGTACAGAGTTTGATTACATAGTGGAAATTTAGAAAAGCCTATATCTTCTCTCGTCATTATTTCATTTAGTTAAATTCCGCAAAAAGTTTTTAGATTTCACCTCAAATACAATTCACCCCCCCTCTTGTATTAGCCAGTTAGACTTTCAATAGTAGTGGTCAGTAGAATGATGGATTCTTGGTCAGTAGAATTTGGATCATATTTAATACAAAACTCAACTCCACCATATTGTTAATACCATAATTAACGAACTCATTCAACACTGATTTTCATAGTTACAGTTTTATATTGATCAGTATAATAAAATATAGAGAGCATACAAGAATGCAAAATATTGAATCAAATGATTTAATAGCATATATATTTGATACAAAGCTCATTTCCACCGTACTATCAATGCCTTAATAAACTGAAATTTAGTGATTGATTTTGCATAGTTAGTCTATTTTACAGTATTTCGATAGTAACAACTAACATATAAATGGAATACTACATAAGAAAAATTAAGATGCCCAAATGAGCAAATTATAATTCTGACGATGAATTGATTATTATGTCCAAGCGAAGGCGGGTTATTATGTCCAGTAAACGCGGATGAGTCTTGATTTCCAAGCAAGCCTTGTTCAACTGAAGGCGGGGCATTATATCCAATGTCTTGATTCCCAGGCAACGGCGGAAGGGATTCAAACAACTCTGAGCCTTTGGCCAACCAGTCATCTAACCATTCATATAATGACACATCATTAGTCTCATTATTGCTTGCCAAGCCTTGACTAACAGACACCGAGCCATGTTGTCGAACCGAGGTGGAGTCTTGTGGTCGCCTAAACAACGGGTAGCCAAGTTCTCCATGATCAAGTCCATGTTCCTTCAACATTTGTTCAACTTCTTCTATTCGGTTGCGTAGAGGTATTGATGGTAGTGGCGGCATCGGCGGGGGCCGTGGTTGTGGTAGCGGCTGTGGCTGTGGCTGTGGCTGTGATTGCCATTGCCATTGCGCCGGCTGCACTGTACGTATACTATTGAACCCTGCCCATAAACTCTTGTTGAGTATGTGGTCGGAAAATAATACCCCTTTGCTTTGGCGGCCTTTCTTCACCACCATCATCATCTTTCCGAGTATTACTTTTTCTCTTACGCCCTTTTGGATCAATCGTCGGCGTCCTCGGCGGTTTTCCAGGATCATTAGACATTATGATGTTCAACGGAGAATCGAGGGTGTACTTTTCTTGGAAATCTTGAATGTTATTATGTTGGAATTAAAGAAATGAAAAGAAGTTATAAGCAACAGAAAATTATAGGTTTTATTAGTTAGTTGTGTGAAATTGGAGTGATTAGTAAAATGGATTCTTGGTTTGTTATAATTTGTCAGTTTTAATCCTATCGTTAACAGTTGACTATTCTTAATTTATACTCACAAAGTAGATATTTTGAGTGACGGTTATCAGTTAGTTTGTTAGTTAGTTAGTTACGGTGTTGTACCTCCCCTGCAAATTACAATTTGGGCTATGTACTTATGCTCGACTCTGTTTTCATTTTCCAAAATCGAAATTTTTTATGTAAATACGTATATTTAACCCAAAATTGGATAATTTTAAGTCATAAATACAGAGTGTGTACGTTGCTTTTCATTTACCAATATTATTTTATACATTTAACGCAGAGTTGGATAATTCTAAGCGATAAATATAAAGTGTGTTGTTTTAGACATTTTTTTTAAAAGACAAAAAATTGACTTATAAGCTTATCCTAAAAAAGATTGAATTAGTCCCGCTTAATTTTGGTGTTTGAGAAGAACAATATGTGATTTTAGTATTGTATTTAAGTTTTAAGCCTGGCTCAGTTGATCAATACAACAGTCAACACGGGCCACATTTTTTATTTAAAGAGTACGTGACCTTTAATTTGATTATATCTAGTTTAAATTTACTCTGATCCGTAATATATATTCAAAAAAGTTATAGTAAAATAAGAAATCAAATTGGTTTAATAGTCAAATACAAGTAAAAATACCGACAAAGTAATTATGCTTTAATAATATCGGCTACTCTTTGTCTTCAAAAAATAGAATATAAAAAAATGGAGAGAGTATTGCCAATTTATTCCTTTTCTTTTAATTGTCAATTCATTCCTTTTCTTTTAAGCCCATTGAAACTATTTTTTCAAACTAATTAAAAAAAATGAAAATAACCTATTTTGGCCTAACTACATTGAAATTAAATGATGATGATTATTAACAAAGTATTACACTATTTGTTGAGGTCATGCATAATGTATGACCTCTATTTAGCACTGTCAAAAACCGAACCGAACCGGTGAAACCGAACTGTTTCAACCGATCCGAATGAGAACCGAACCGATTAAAAACCGATTTTTTTGAAACCGAAAACCAACCCGAACCGCATGTTAGTAAAACCGACACCGAACCGATCCGAGAAAACGTTAAACCGATTAAGAACCGAACCAAATCTAAACCGAACTGAAAAGGAAACCGAACCGAAAATGAACCGAACCGTTTCTAACCCGAAACCATTTAAACTGGCATAAAAACCGCTTACACCGAACTGTTAGCAAACTGCTACTCGTTTGCACCGAACCATTTAAAAACCGAACTGATTGTAAACCGAACTACTTATAAACCGAACCGTTTATGAACCGAACTGCTTATAAACCGAACCGTTTATGAACCAAACCGCTTATAAATCGAACCGTTTACAAGCTTTTTTTGTATGTAATAATAATATTTTTTTTGGTGCACTTTTTTATGTAATTATTTGGATTAAGTATTAGAAATCTTAGAATATATATTTAGCATATATTCCATACTTATCAGTTTTTCTTGAGACCATATACTTATCATATTAATTGTATATATCTTAGTAACTTAGTTAATACTAAATTCCCTTAGAAATAGCACTTCGTTAGCTAATCCGTGAGTATTGACTTTAATTTGGTTTTTGGGGAATAATCTGCAATTTTGGTTTTTTGGGCAATAACCTACAATTTTTTGGCCTTTTGGGCCTTATTCATCAACATAGCAGTATTCCAGTAGCATAATAGGATTAATAGCATTAACAAGTTATAAAACTTCTAATTCAACAAGTTTCAACTTTTCAAAACCAAAACAAACTAATCCAATCCATACACATAATTAAACAATTTTTAACAACAAAGTAACAAAATCAAACCAACCAATCCATACAAACAAGTTTTAACAACAGAATTGTACAAGTTTTTAGCATAACAAGATTAACACCAGCACCACAGTCTACAGCAGAATGGCAGATCAGCAGCACTGCAGACTGCAGCAGCAGAATGGCAGAACTGCAGCGATGGAAGAAGAGCAGCAGAACATCAAAATGGAAGAAGAGCAGCAGCAGAATGGAAGAACAACAGCAGAACAGCAAGTCAGCAGCACAGCAAGTCAGCAGAACAACAGTAAGGAGAAGAAGCAGTCAGCAGTAGCAGCACCCTATACTTATCATTAGTGTAAGAAATGAAGCTACACTTTTCTCACAAAAAAAAAAAAAAACAAGAAAGCTTGAATTAAGCAACACAATATAAATTAAGCATCAGTAAAATAGCAACATCCATACCTTTCTAATTAGATGCAAAACTTTCATCTATCACCTCTTTACCAATTTCAAGGACGTCTTCTTCAATATCACAATCATAACCACGTAACCAATTTTGTGTGGTAACCAACGCCTCAACATTCTTAGGCAAAAGTGCACTCCTATACTTGTTTAAAATACGACCACCCATGCTAAAAGAAGACTCAGAGGCTACCGATGTAATAGGAATGGCCAAAACATCCCTAGCCATAATAGCTAATATGGGGTACACATTAATTTGAGATTCCCAATACTTGAGAACATCATAATTCTGCCCTTCAATTGATGGTTGACGAGGAGTATTCAAATAATTATCAATCTCCATCGATGGTCGATTTAGGCTATCATCAACATCAACATCCTAGAAAAGTGCAAAAAAATATGCTTTTATTAAATAATAAAAATTAAGACATATAATTATTATTTTAGTAAACCACAATAAACAGAAAATAATTACCTTGAATATATCATCATCATCCAAGAGACTATTTGATTTATCAACCCCAAATAGGGATGGAGGGGGAAACAATTGTACTTGACTTAAAACCGGAACACATAGAAGAATAAAAGTTATACAACTCCAAAAGAGCATCTTTAATCACCTTCGCCTTTTCAACACATGCCTCCTCAACATAAAGCACTTTCAACATATTCGTCAATCGAAATAGCTTATAGCGAGGATCAAGAACAATAGCTATTGAAAGGATCAAACTATAGTCATCCCAATAGCCCTCAAACTTTTCAAGCATAACTTTTGCCATGGGTGCAAGTTTAGGGTCTATATGGGCTTTAGTTATTGTGTGCTCAATTTTCAAAAACACTAGCAAAATACAAATTTGCGGTAGGATATTCAGAACCAGAAAATAACATAGTGATTTCATAAAATGGCTTTAGGAAATGACATATTTTTGCAAGGGTATCCCATTCATCATCCGAAAGTTTTGAATTCATAACCCATATACTTATCGATAACCACTTTCAAGGCTTCCTTTGCTTCTAAAAGCTTTTCGGAGCATCGTATAGGTGGCATTCCAACGAGTCACAACATCAAGACGTAACTTACCGTTAAATAGACAGTTTAACCTCAGAAAGAGCATGCTCAAATTGAGTAAGTCTAGAGTCCGAAGAATCAATATATTTACAAACCTCACGCAATTTTTGAACACTACTATCAACTTCTTTCAAAACCTCTTTGAACAATAATGTTCAAGACATGAGCTGAACATCGAATATGAAAAAATTTACCATTACAAGGAAGAGGAGAAGTCAACATTAAATCTTTCTTCAAAAGTTTAACCATAACATCCATAGATCGAGCATTATCAACAGTAATTGCAAAAGCTTTACCCTGAAGGTTCCACTCCCCAATAAGTTTAAACACAAATTTTTCTATCTCAACACCAGTATGAGGAGGACCACAATATCTAAAATTCAGAATTTTAGACCTTAGACACCAATTTTTTATCAACATAATGTGCAGTTAAAGTGAGATAACCTCGATTAGTGCATGCTGTCCACAAGTCACAAGTGAAGCTAACTCTACCCTTCAATTCCAGAAAAAGATTGCAACAACAAGGACTTAAAACTTAATCATGCTCAGCAATACAATATTTCAACATAGTGTTTCTACACACATGCTTCACATTAGGATTCAGATTCGTAAAAACTTCCCTAAGGCCATGATGCTCCACAATATTTAAAGGGATAGGAATGCAAAATTATAGCTCTAGCAAGCAATTGTAAATGACGAGTTTGATTAAACGTAGGATCAACAACACTTTCAAGATTTGCAGGATGATGTATATTTTTACCCATGCATGCCTTAGTATGAGCTTTACAAGTGGAAGTACCAGCCTTACCTGGTGCTTTATATTCATTACCGCAAACATTGCATCGCGCATATCTTATCGGAGCAAGACCAACAATCTTATCAAAAAAGGTGTAATGCCTCCACACATCTGATGTTCGTCCACGCTTACTACCACTAGTGGTAGTGACTTGTTGCTGAGAAGAATCTTGATTCTGAATAGTGTTTTGAGAATCTGAAGTTTCTAAATAATCTTGTCTGTCCTCATCATAATTTTCATACCCTTGATCCATTGCTGAAAAAACAGGATCAAAACAACACATTTCAGCCTTATAACAAATAATTGTCCCTATCAATGCTAACACATTTAGGTACTTTTTACACTCTAGTTAAGAGTCGAAAACCCATTACATTGAGATGTACACTTAATAGTGAAACCAACAAATAGAATAGAGAGTGAAAAGTCATTAATCCCATATTATTTTTCTATAAACGCTAATAAACTCATATAATCAAATTTCAGTAGCAACCCATTAATTTTTAACTACTAGAAAATTAAATACTCATTAAGCTTAACCTAACTTACAATTATACAATTATATACTCATTAGGTAAAAAAGGCACCCAAGAAGTTTTCATTTTAACAGCTCTTTCTTGTACCATCTTTATAAAATTCATCTGCCTCTTTTTGATCCATAATACCTTTCCTCAATTAGAGATTTTCTTTTCATTCTCATTTTTTCCTGATTTAAGTGAGAAAAAAAACAATTAATTTCACAAATTAGAAAAAACCCCTTTCTATTAAAACCTACATTATAGTATAAGCTTAACCTAAATTTACTATTTCTAGCCCAAAAAAAACATATACATGCAATTCCAATTTTTAACACAAAATTAACTTCAAATTAAACCAATATTCAAAAGGGTTTTCATATTTGGCATGATAAAAATGAAAACCAGATAAAATTTTAACTCAGAATTGAACAGAAGGAAATCATAGCGAAATTATGAATCCATACTATTTTGAAATTAAATTAATCAATGCCATGAATGATACTATCTATACATGATATAAATAAAAAATCACAGATTATCATGATTTTTGTTACAAAAAATTAGCACATCAATGAAAAAGCAATTCATTGATCAATTTTCCCTCAAAAAAACTAATTTCAGTTAAAATGAAATCACAATAACAAGTACACAGAAAGCAAGGAACTTTGAATCAAACAACACTGAAATAGAGTAAGATTGATTACCAGTGAAGGAATTATACAATTATACAATTATATACTCATTAAGGGGAATTATAACTACAACTTTAATTCTTCTACTTCATAAATCAGATTAAATCAGTTGCAAGAAGTACGAGGAAGAGAGATATCATACCTGGACAAAAAAAGAGAGGTTTAGAGCAGCAACAACACTGATAAGCGAGGATTAGAGCAGCAACAACACCGATGAGCAGCAACAACGAACGAAAGGCGCCGTGAATGAATTAGGGAGAATTGAAAATGAATGAGAGAGACGACAAACGAAGAGGCGCCGTGAATGAATGAGTGAGATCTGAGAGGAGATGAGGAGAGAAAGAACTAGGAGGCGTGAAAGTGAAAGTGGAATTAGGGTATCAAAATGGTTGAGATGTAAATCTAACCATTGATTTTTTAATCTATGGTTGAGAATGGTTTTCCGTGTGTGTTGTGGGGAAAAAAATCTAACCGTAGATTGTTTTTAATCTATGGTTGAGAGTGGTGATCCGTGTGTGTTGTGGGAGAAAAAAATTAACCGTAGATTGTTTTTGATCTATGGTTGAGACTGATTAGATGATGTTTTGTGTGTTGTGTATTCATTTGATCGGGATCAGTCTCCAAGACGCGTAAAAACATCTACGTAGTATATCTTTATTTTCATACAAGTAAAAATTATAAAAACGTTATATTAATAAAATATATAATGATACAAATTTAAAAAGATCACTCATGAAGTCATGAGTCATGACTCATGAGTCGTGACAAAATTAAGTTTTACTGTTTTATAGATTAGTGGTAATTTATGGTCAATATTTTCAAAGTTTGACCCCAAAAATGACAAAGGGACAAAATAAAGGGACGGGTGGAGTATTAAAATAATAGTTAGAGATGGTGTAGATCATTATACTTAAACTACACGAACAATGATCCTAATTTAATTTAAAACAACAGCTCAAGTTATTGATCCAATCAAAATAATGTTCACTAATTTATAACTTTGTACTAATACATACGAAGTATTTAATTATGAGATGGTTAGATGCTATGCGTTAATGTGTACATACGATCGATTGAACTAATCAATATTACCTTGTTAATAAATCATTAATGTTTTCTTTCATTACACAAATCAAACTACTTTGTAATATCTTCATAATTTCATGAAAATATATAAAGATAAACGAGCCATAATTACCAGTCTTGTTGATTAATCAAGTATCGAATTACCAAATTGCAAATTTCCATTTAATAAGAACTCATCAAATCATGACTTTGACACTAGTATTTAAATGATTAAATAAGAAACAT